GCCACGGTTTTGCTCGCGGTTCTGTATATATTGTTCTTCTGAAAATTAGACCAGTGTTTTACTGAAAAACTTCATTATTTGTTGTTGCTTATATGGCAGCAAACTTTGATAAATTTTGGAATTCTTGTTGCTACTTTCTATCTTGAAATACAGTGACGTTTTACATGTCTGAGGCAGAAACTAGTTTGGTCTGTGACATTTGTCGTCATTTGTGTTATGAATTAGCGTAGTTTCACAATTAAGTTGTTTCTTTTTTGTTTTTTAGACTATGAAACTCAATTTCTTAGGTATTTTAGGTTACGTTTTTGTGGTAATTGATTCCATGGTTTGATGCATATGCCTGGGCCTTTTTTCATCAATGTTAGAAATGTTTTTTATCAGTGTTAGACAAGCTAATTTCTGATTTCGCCATTGGTGGCTTGCTTGACGTCCCATTTGATTTCCACTGGCAGTTTACTCTGTAATGTTAATTATCACTGTGTGCCTTGTACCAAGTGTGAAAATGTGACACTAGGTGATGAAGTTAGTGCGAATTAAGTTTAAAGCAAGAATCGATCAATCATGAAGCCTGTAAATGTAGGGCTCTTTTTTATGGCTGATTCATTTTTAGTTGTATCAGTGACTTGCATAGTGTTTATATTACTGTACACAAGTATATGTATTAAATTGCAGATACCCTTACTACCTTAATGGAGTCTTTCAGTCGGCTTGAAACGACCAAGATGCTCGATTTTGATCCGGATCTATTTTTCGAAATGTTTGGAAGAAAACTAGGTACAGTTAAAGTTGAATATCTTTGAAATTATCCATAATCGTTTTATCGAATTTTCCGTGTACTTTTACAGAGGACGTTGCCTGTGATCCGTTGTTCTGCGAATGTTTTGAGGAAGTTAGTTCCTGCTCATATAATGAACTCGGTAACGTCCTTAGCGGCTTTCTGTTTAATTTTACAGTCTGCGTTGTTTCAGAGCAGCAACCATCAATCCTCAGTCAGAAGCAGGCCAAACTGCAACGCGTGACCGAGGACCTGACATATACCAATTACAAAACCTTCATAGAAGCTGCCGAATGCTCACGGGAAGTTCTGGAAAAGGCATGAATCACTTTTAGTTGGTTGTAAAATAAGCATGTACGATCTTTCTTCATGGACAATGGGAATTGATGGCAGTTTCCGTAAATTCTTTCGTGCAGAGTTCAGAATAAGGCAAGGAGGAGTGGAATATCCTATGCTATTTGGGTGTTTCTTGCACGCTCCAACAAATGCGGAAGAATAACTTACGACTACGGCAAGAATACGGAATATCTGCGTAAACTTGCATTTGCTGATGATATCGTACTGCTTTTAAACAACTTCGAAACTGCAACATCACTTCTTCTAACTTTGAAACAAGGCCGATGTGTATGTCTCAGTTAAATTAAAGAAGACGCAATGAGTGGAAGTTAGTAGGAC